AAAAGCTATTACATTATCCTACAAACACCTATGACCTTCACTTTTTTTTTTTTTTTTAATGGGGACCTTTGTTTTGTGATAGCATTATGTTTATTTTATTGAATTTTTTTTTTTTTTTAATGCTGTAAAAGGTCATTATATTAAATGGGCCTATGACCAGCAGTAATGTTTCATGACACAACAGTGACCTGCAGTAATATTGTTACATTTTAGGGACTTATAATAATATATTGTTACATTATGAGGTACCTGTAGTAATATAATGTGACATTATGAGGGTAATATGACCTGCAGTAATATTTCATTACATTACAGTGACCTGCAGTAATATATTGTTACATTAAAGAGACCTATTACCTGTAGCTATATATTGTTGCATTATAGAGACCTGTGACCTGCAGTAATATATTGTTACACTATAGAAACCTGTGACCTGCAGTAATATATTGTTACACTATAGAGACCTGTGACCTGCAGTAATATATTGTTACACTATAGAGACCTGTGACCTGCAGTAATATATTGTTACACTATAGAGACCTGTGACCTGCAGTAATATATTGTTACACTATAGAGACCTGTGACCTGCAGTAATATATTGTTACACTATAGAGACCTGTGACCTGCAGTAATATATTGTTACACTATAGAGACCTGTGACCTGCAGTAATATATTGTTACACTATAGAGACCTGTGACCTGCAGTAATATATTGTTACACTATAGAGACCTGTGACCTGCAGTAATATATTGTTACACTATAGAGACCTGTGACCTGCAGTAATATATTGTTACACTATAGAGACCTGTGACCTGCAGTAATATATTGTTACACTATAGAGACCTGTGACCTGCAGTAATATATTGTTACACTATAGAGACCTGTGACCTGCAGTAATATATTGTTACACTATAGAGACCTGTGACCTGCAGTAATATATTGTTACATTATCGGGACCTGTGACTTGTAGCAATATATTTTTATAGAGACTTGTGACCTGTAGTAATATATTGTTACACTATAGAGACCTGTGACCTGCAGTAATATATTGTTACATTATCGGGACCTGTGACTTGTAGCAATATATTTTTATAGAGACTTGTGACCTGTAGTAATATATTGTTGCATTATAGAGACCTGTGGCCTGCAGTAATATATTGTTTCATTATTTTGACCACATCACCAATCTTGTGCCGATTGGTCTATAAATATATAGGTCTAGCCCTATATGCCCTATGCGCCTAAAGGCGTGGAAAAGGGTTCTTTCCTTTTTTTAGAGACCTGTGACCTGCAGTAATATATTGTTACACTATAAAGACTTGTGACCTGCAGAAATATATTGTTACAATATAGCGGCATGTGTAATATATTGTTACATTGCTGTGACCTGAAGTAATATTTCCTTATATTTTAGGGACCTGTGACCTGCAGTAATGCATTGTTATGTTATAGTGACCTGCAGTAACATTGTCCCTAACCTTTGACTTTCAGTAATATTTCATTACATTACATGAACCTTTGACCTGCAGTAAAATATCATTGCATTATAGGGACTTTCCCCTGCAGTAATATAGTATGACACTATCAGGTCCTTGGACCTGCAGTAAAATATTATTACATAATAGTAACCTTTGACCTGCTGTAACATTACACATTATAAAGATGTGTGATCTGCAGTAATATAACATTACCTTATAGGGACCTGTAACTTGCATAAATATATTGTTAAAGGGACTCTTTCCTGTAGCGACATATGGATGTTAATCCTTAAGGAAGAAAATATGAGCCTTTGAGTCGAAATGCTCTAGAAAGATTCTCAAAATACCATGGGCAAAGAAGAAAAGAAATACTGATATCCAAAAAGTTATGACGATCAAGGAAGGTTGGCTAGTAAACAGCATCTTGTCTTAGAAGCTCTTAATGTTTTGGCCATATCAAGTGCCATGGCAGATTGGAAAAAATTATAACGGAAGGTGTGGTGCCAGAAAGGAGGGGTCGAAGCCGCACAAATATAGGCACAGGATATAAGTGATTCATTGGTTATGAAAGTACACGAGGCGGAAGAGCTGGCAAAAGATAAGCGTTTCTTTCAGGCAAACAGTGATGAGAGCAACTTTCTGCAAAGGACCTGCTACATGATGATGATTATAGGGCCATGTGACCTGCAGGAATATATTGTTACATTAGCAGGTCCTTTTGACCTGTAGTAATATTACATTATAAAGACCTGTGACCTGCAGAAACTCTTCATTATCATCATCCTGTAGCAGATCCTTTGTAGAATTTTGCTCTCATCACAGCCTGCCTGAGGAGTCATACCCAGGGACACTTATATCCTGAGCCCATCTTCATGCTGGTCGACCCCTGCTTCCTGGTTCCATGCCTTCTGTTGCAATTTTTTTCCCCTACACTGTAGAACTTTTTATGGCAAAATTATTGCAGCTTCTGAGACAAGATGTTGTTTATTAGCCAATCTTCTTTGATGTTCAGATATTTTAA